TAGAACTTTTTTGTCCGCTACAGAGCTGCTCCCATACCATGCAAGATCCTAAGCGGAATTCTATTCTTGACCTCTCCTCACTTATTTTCAACATAATCAGTTTTTAAGAAGGGCGTTTCTCGACCATGGCGACTTGAAGCTGTGTGGACTTCAACACCCAGAATTCCCCAGCCGACAGAATTCTGGGAGTTGAAGTCCAAACATTTTCAGGTTTGCTAAGATTGAAATGTATGGCTTGGATCATGCTTCATTTCCTTCCTCAAAGTGGAGAAACAGAACATTGCTCTTCTTATGGGCTCGTTTCCTGAATTAGCAACAGGAATAGAGATAGTCTTCCATTTACGACCACAATTGAGCCCAAAATTTATGTTGCTAAGTGAGAAATTTGTTGAATGGGTTTTGCCCCATTTTACGATTTTTCTTGACCTGTTTGTAAAGGGAATCACTAAAGTTGTTAATTTAGTAACATGGTTATTAAGTGGATCTGTTTTCCTCTTGACCTTTGCTTGTCAGAAGTTTGCAACATGATCCCGGGATACAACCAGGGGTGAAATCCAGCAGGTTCTGACAGGTTCTGGAGAACCAGTAGCGGAAATTTTGAGTAGTTCGGAGAACCGGCAAATGCCACCTCTGGCTGGCCCCAGAGTAGGGTGGGAATGGGGATTTTGCAGTATCCTTCCCCCAGCAGTGGGGAGGGAATGGGGATCTTACAGCATCCTCCCCTGGAGTGGGGTGGGAATGACGATTTTGCAATATCCTTCCCCTGGAGTGGGATGGGAATAGAGATTTTGCAGTATCCTTCCCCTGGAGTGGGGTGGGAATGGAGATTTTGCAGTATCCTTCCCCTGGAGTGGGGTGGGAATGGAGATTTTGCAATATCCTTCCCCCAGGAATGGGGTGGGAATGGGGATTTTGCAGTATCCTTCCCCTAGGGTTGGGTGGGAATGGAGATTTTGCAATATCCTTCCCCCAGAAATGGGGTGGGAATGGAGATTTTGCAGTATCCTTCCCCTGGATTGGAGTGGGAATGGGGATTTTGCAGTATCCTTCTCCTGCCATGCCCACCAAGCCACGCCCACCAAGCCAGACCACCCCCACCAAACCACGCCCACAGAACCGGTCGTAAAAAAATTTGGATTTCACCACTGGATACAACTGTCATAAATGTGAGTTGATTGTCAAGCATCCGAATGTAGGTAAATCACGTGGCCAGGGGGATGTTGCAACGGTCATAAGTGTGAAAAAACTGGCCCTAAGTCCCCTTTTCCGGTGCCGTTGTAACTTCCAACGGTCCCATTGTAAGTCCAGGACTATCTGTAGACTCCTGGTTTGGTATAGTGAAACTTTAATGACGATGTGAACTTACGAATGGAGCAATCCGGATGGTGCTTCCTCCGTAATATTTTTAATAGCTTCAGCGTTTGTTTGTTTTTTCCCCCTGGATTTTCCCATTGAAGCAATACAACTATCACCCTGAATGTTTTACGGAAACGAAGACCAGGCGAAGGTCTTAATCTGTCACATTTCAGGACTCCTTCAGTTGTTTTATGGTGCTTTATCGTGCTAAAACTGACACTCGGAAGAAGGAATATTTTCCTGAATGAAATTCCATTAAGTCCAAAATGGCTGCTTTATAATTATGCAATTGAGCCGTATGGTGGGGTAATGTGCCTTGCCGGTTTCTCGGTAGCGATCTGGGAAGCTAATTTTAATTTTTTTGCTGTAGGCTAGGCTTTCATGGTGCTTATCCAAGTGGGAGGAAAGATAAAAAAATAAAATAAGGCAAAGTGAATTAGAACTGCCTCTTTTTTTTTTTTTAAATAAAAAAAAAATTGCAGTCAAAGCAGTTACTGCCTCTTATCCTTTGCCCATATTGGCCTTGGGTGATTCCAGGCGGTAGCAATCACAGTGCAATCTGTTTGGATTAACAGAAGAATTCTGCAGAATAACAGAATAGCACTGAGTTGAAAAGGGGCCTTGGAGGTCTTCTAGTCTAACCCCCTTGCTCAGGCAGGAATCCCTTGTCAGGGCATTTATTAATCCCATGTTTGGCTCTGGGACTAATTACCCTGGTTTAATTAGAGGAGATGAATCGAGGCTTCTCCTTGTTTGCAATATTCTAAAAAAGAGTACGGAAACACGTAGCTTACTGATAAGAAGTTGGCAAGCTACGGAGAGTCTGACAGTCCAGAAATGATGAGTTCAGCTGGCAAATAAAATAACGCAGTGACATCCCTATACCCGTAACGGCGAACCTATGGCATGCGTGCCACAGGTGGCACATGTAGCCATATCGGTAGGCACGTGAGCTCAGCTCCGGGCCCACCAGAAGTAGGTGCTGGAAAACAACCGTTGAGATGCCGAATTCCAAGGGTGGCCTTACCAAGGCCTTATAAAGTGGTATTAACAAGAGCCTTGGTAGTACAGTGGTCTAAGGCACCCTGTTATTAAGCTGGTTATTAAGACCAGATGCCTGCAATTACCGCAGGTTCGAATCTCGCCAAGGCTCAAGGTTGACTCAGCCTTCCATCCTTTCTAAGGTAGGTAAATTGAGGACCCGGTTTGTGGGGGCAATAAGCTGACTTTGTATAAATATACAAAAGGATGAAGGATATTGCTGAGCACATTGTAAGCCGCCCTGAGTCTCCGGAGAAGGGCGGCATATAAATCAATTTAAAAAAAAAAAAACACTTCACGTGATCTTGATTCTGTCCCTCTGTTTATGCAGCCTAGAACTGTGTTGGCTTTTGATCTCCTTAGATTCAATCATATTATGGCATTACTGGTAGTTACTGGGGTCTGGCGCAGAGGTCTCCAACCGTGGCAACTTTATGACTTGTGGACTTCAACTCCCAGAATTAAAATTTTTAATTTTTTTTAATTTTAAAACTCCCAGAATTTTAAGCAAAGCTAGCTGAGGAATTCTGGGAGTTGAAGTCCACAAGTCATAAAGTTGCCAAGGTTGGTCTGGAGAATGTAGATAATTGTAGGAGCAGACATCCCAGTTAAGAAGGGGGTGGAACATAGAAAGAGGTTTTGAAAATAAAATACGGTTGTGGTTAGGAATGATCCTTGACTGAATCCCTAGGCAAGCCTGGAAAATAAAATAATGTTCTAGTGAGAAAGCATCAGACATCCAAATTTGAGATTGCATCATGGCCTCTGCCTGCTTTGAAAGACTCTGCCAGGGATCATACGACACTCCGACGGAGCGCTCCAAACTCAACCAGATGGAGAATGATTTCTTGGACAAATTCCCAGACCTACGACTGATGCATCAGCTCAGTTCTTCAGCTTCCAAATCAAGATTGGCCATGATCTTCTAAGGATTATCAGGATGACCTCTGCCATCTGTTCTTGTCCCAGTCAATCTCACAAAATCAACAAGTATACCGCACTGGATGTTCCAGCGCTTGAAACAATATTCAGTAAAGAACAGAAAAAGGAATAAATAGGAAATGCAGGTAGCCCTCGATGTACGACCACAATGGAGCCCAGAGTTTATGTTGCTAAGTGAGAAATTTGTTCAGTGAGTTTTGCCCCCATATTCCGACTTTTCTTGCCCCGTTTCTTAAGTGAATCGCTGCAGCTGTTAAATTAGTCCCACCGTTGTGAAGTGAATTGGGCTTCCCCATTGACTTTACTCGTCGCAAAATATGGTCATATGACCCCATAACAAAATTCACTTCACAAAGGTTTCACCTAGCGACAGACTTTTGGGCTCCCGAGCTCCGTTTTCGGCTGTGATGGCCTCCTGCAACACTCTGTCAGTGAAAACGGAGCTCGAGAGGGCCGCGTATAGCCTTCGCTAGCTCCGTTTTTGGCCACGATGGTCTCCTGCAGCCCTCTGCCAGTGAAAACGGAGTTCGGGTGAGCCACGCACATCCCCCGGGTCCTGTTTTCAGCTGTGATGGCCTCCTGCAGCCCTCCCCGAGCTTCCTTTTCACTTGCAGAGGGTCCGCGAGCCGTTCCTTTGCTGTTTCCAGGGTGGCCCTGTGGGCCAGATCTAAGCACCCTGCAGGCCACATCCAGCCCACAGTAGTATTAGTATTAGTATTTATTAAATTTTTATACCACCCCCTCTCCCGAAGGACTCGGGGCGGTGAACAGCCAGAATTAAAAACACACAATACAAATATTAAAATACATTAAAACAAAATTAAATTATCTTTGGTTTCTCCAATTTAAAACCCCTTACCCATAAAATTCACCCAATTAAAATTTTTTAACCCAGCCCGGCTTGCTGAAATAAAAAAGTCTTCAGGGCCCGGCAAAAGGTCCGGAGGTCCGGGATTAGTCGTATCTCTGGGGGTAGCTCATTCCAGAGTGCGGGTGCCCCCACAGAGAAGGCTCTTCCCCGGGGGGTCGCCAGGCCTTGAGTTTGACCCAGGGGTGAAATGCTCCCGGTTCGGACCAGATCAGGCGATCTGGTAGCGATTGTGGCAGGTGGTTCAGAGAACCGGTAGCGATGGCGGCGTGAGGCTCCGCCTATCCACCTGGGTGTTGTTACTTCCTGGTTTTAACCAAGAAGTAATGTGTTTTTCACTCTCTGCTCATGCACAGAGAGTCTGCACATACATGTGATGCGTGCGCGTACTTCCGAACCGGTAAGGAAGGTAAGTAGATTTCACTCTTGGTTTGACCCCCCTGAAATAATAAAAGCACTCAAAAGCAAACCTCAACATTACAAAATATTGTAAACTGTGTAAAAATCCTGGCACTCATTAAGCTAATTTGTCAGCTGTCCCAGAACTGCATGCTGTGTGTCTGTGTTTCTCTCTCTCTCTTTCTTCTGCCCATCGATAAGCTTTCTTTCCAATCAGCCTCCATTTTGTTTCCAGGGTCTTTCTCCCAGGCTTGGAACTGAACCAGATGGATTTTCCTTCCAACTTCCTTCCTTTCGTAGTTGTGTGTGCTTTAAAGTTAACTTGCAGAACATTGAAAATGTTTGCAGATTGGCTGTTGTGTCTCCTAATAATCTGACCCCTTTTGTCTATTAGGGCCACCCCAGAGGACGGTGTCTCCCAAGCAAGAACACGAAGATCGGAAACCCGAAAAGGTGACGGACAAAGGAAGCGAGAGTGGAACGTCCTGCAATGAATTGTCCACATCCAGTTGTGAGAGCCATTCTGAAGCCAGCACGCCTCAAGAAAATGCTACAAGCGCTCAGCCGCCTACGGGCCACGAGTCCAATACCCTGACGTTGGATCGCCCATCGAAGAAAGCTCCGGTTCAGAAAATGCCTCCACCGGACAAACGTCGAAACAGTGAACTTTTCCAGACTCTGATGAGTAAATCCAGAGAAATAAACCTCTCCAAGAAGAAGGTCTCCGAGAAGCTCAACGTTGAGGAAGAGATGAAAAAATGCATTCAGGATTTTAAAAATATTCAAATCCCCGACGATTTCCCGGAAAGGAAACGTCCGTGGCAATCTGAACTGTTGCAAAAATATGGACTATAGTTTTTTCGGTAGTGAATCTCATGTCCCTGGTGATTTAAGTGTCTATTCCATTGCCGGTTACTTGTGGTTCTACTCCTTGGAGTTCTGCGGCTTCTTTCTTCTTTCTGTGAACTGGATGTTGGATAGGACATGGGTTGACTGTTTTTTCCCCCCTTTCTTTTTCTTTTTTTTTTAAAAGGATACAATTAATGAAAATAAAACCTAGATCGTTTTATAATAGTTAACAAAGTGCATGGTCAAGACATTTGAGGTTTAAGCCTCCTCATAAGTGGTGGGTTTCAATTTTTTTTACTACCGGTTCTGTGGGTGTGGCTTGGTGGGCGTGGCATGGCTTGGTGGGCGTGGCAGGGGAAGGATACTGTAAAATCTCCATTCCCTCCCCACTCCAGGGCAAGGTTACTGCAAAATCCCCATTTCCTCCCGATCAGCTGGGACTTGGGAGGCAGAGAATAGATGGGGGTGGGGCCAGTCAGAATTTTTACTACCAGTTCTCCGAACTACTCAAAATTTCCGCTACCGGTTCTCCAAACTACTCAAAATTTCCGCTACCGGTTCTCCAAACTACACAAAATTTCTGCTACCGGTTCTCCAAACTACTCAAAATTTCCGCTACCAGTTCTCCAGAACTGGTCAGAACCTGCTGAAACCCACCTCTGCTTCTCATCCATGGAATAAATATATCATCTGGTCGCGCACCATTTTATATACATAATAGTAGTGATATAAAGTTCCACAGCACAAAAGGATGGGTCTAAGGCAGGGGTGGGGAACAGTGTCCCTTTTATGACTTGTGGACTTCAATTCCCAGAATTCCCGAGCCAGCTGGCTCTGGAATTGTGGGAGTTGAAGTCCAAAAGTCATAAAGGGTCCATTGTTCCCCACCTCTGCCTTAGAACCTGAGTCTCACATATTAAAATGGCGGCCTTAGGAATTCTGGGAGTTGAAGTCCACAAGTCATAAAGGGGCTATAGTTCCCCACCTCTGCCTTAGAACCTTTCATATTAAAATGGCGGCCTCAGGAATTCTGGGAGTTGAAGTCCACAAGTCATAGAGGTGACCATCTCTGGTCTAAAGATACGGGATAGAATTTGGTGCAAACACGTTTTTAAAAGTTAGCACAATGAAGGAAGCTTCCATTTTGCCTGAGCACAATAGGGACTAGTAGCTTACACGAAGGAACAAAAGGTCGCGGGCTGCTGGGATAGATATTTTGTTCGTTGCCAAGATTATAACTGTAAAATGCCTTTGGAATTGAACCTTATGAGGATTTGTGTGTGTGGCTGTGTGTTTTTCTTTTTGTAAGGAGGATGTAAATATGCCTTATATTGTTAAACGATCACACCAACCTTCACCTAATCAATGTTTGCCAGGGTTATTTCTGTGAAATGCAAAAAAAAAAAAAAAAAAATTATCAGCGGATTGTGAAACTGGTTTGACGATCTCAAAAATCTTCTGTTTTCATGTTAATCAGCGATGTTGGAAAAATAAAAATAAACATGCTCTTAATGCATTGGTTTAATACATTACTGTTAAACCTTCCTGATTGATTGATTGATTGATTGATTGATTGCTGTTTGAACCTTCAAGTGCATTTTAAGATTTTACTCGGGGTCCTCATGATTCATCTATTTTGCTACCATATTGTAAATAACACGTTACAGACAAAATGAATATTGCATTCAGTTTTGGTCGCCACGATGTAAAAAAGACGTGGAGACTCTAGAAAGAGTGCAGAGAAGAGCAACAAAGATGATTAGGGGGCTGGAGGATAAAACATATGAAGAACGGTTGCAGGAACTGGGTATGTCTAGTTTAATGAAAAGAAGGACTAGGGGAGACATGATAGCAGTCTTCCAATATCACAAAGAAGAGGGAGTCAAACTATTCTCTGAGGGTAGAACAAGAAGCAATGGGTGGAAACTAATCAAGGAGAGAAGCAACCTAGAACTAAGGAGAAATTTCTTGACAGTTAAAACAATTAATCAGTGGAACAACTTGCCTGCAGAAGTTGTGAATGCTCCAACACTGGAAATTTTTAAGAAGATGTTGGATAACCTTCCCTTCCAACTCTGTTATTTTATTTCTATTCTATTTGTCCGAATAATGCTTGGGTCATCAGTTTGAGTTTTAATTAAAATGTTCAAAATAAATTCAACAAGTTAGAATCCGACAACATTCAGGATAGTTGTGTTAAAATCTTACCAGGAGTGCACAATTCTTATCCGGCAAAGAAAATAGCATTTCTGAGAATTGATAGTAAATTAGTGTAAGATACTAAATTATTCCTAATAAGATACAGCCATCAACATACATCTCCCCAATTTATGAATAGTAATACACCAGGGTGACACAAAACAATCTAGAAAAACAGGTTTTGTTATAAATTAAGAATTTGCAGAGACAAGTGAAATATTGCTGTCTATTGAGGGTTGTTTTTTTTTTTTTAAAAAAAATATACAGACAGTTTGTTTTTTTAATTCAAATGTTTCATGCCTTTGTTTGCCACACTATTGTATCATCAATAATTTAATTCAGCAGATCACACTTGGAAGAATTCCTTGGTGACATGAGAGTGGAAATATTTACAAGTATTGAGATTTTTGTAGCCTGCCTTATTTTGTGAGTTCAATCTATATGTTTAGATTGGAGCCTGAGTGGCGTAGGAGGCTAATGCCTCCTACTAAGGCAGCATTTAACATCCAGCTGCCTGCAATTACTGCGAGTTCAATTCTCACCAGGCTCAAGGTTGACTCAGCCTTCCATCCTTTCTAAGGTGGGTAAAATGAGGACCCAGATTGTGGGGGCAATAAGCTGACTTTGTATAAAATATACAAAAGTATGAAGGCTATTGCTTAACGCTTTGTAAGCCGCCCTGAGTCTCCGGAGAAGGGCGGCATATAAAAATAAATAAATACATAAAAAAAAAAAAGAAACACATTTTTGCAGTTTTGACCAATAATCATTGCCCAGTGGTGGGATTCAGCCGGTTCCAGACCGGTTCGGGCGAATCGGTAGTTAAATTGCTGGCTGGCCCCGCCCCGCCCCTTCCCACACCACCCATTCCAGGAGTCCCCATGATCCCATTTTGGCTCCCACGTAAATGCAGAGAGGCCTCCTAGGCCCAAAATGGGGCACAGGGGGGCACCGCCCCCTATGGCCCATTTTTGCTCCTAGGAGGCTTCAGGGAGGCCTCCTAGGCCCAAAACGGGACACAGGGATGTGTGGTGCAATCCCGCCACAGCCCGTTTTTGCTCCCAGGCGGTGCAGGGAGACCTACTAGGCCCAAAACGGGGCACAGTGGGGTGGTGGTGTGTGTAACTGTTGAATCCTCGCGGCTACGACTTCAGTCCAGTGGAGCTGTTGCTAACCAACGCGGATTGGCTAAGACGCGAGCAGAGAATTCGCGGGAAGTCCCTGCTCGCGTATTGGTCCTTTCCCGATGACAGGCTCCTATTTAAGGAGCTGTCAGATGTGTTGTTGTTGCTCTTGTTATAGTTACTCGTGTTGTTCCACTGGTGTTAATAAAGTTGGTGTTTATCAGCAGCCGAGCCTCCGATAATCCTTGCCGTGCCAATAAACTAAACAGTAACCTTGAGGCAAAAGTCACTTAACCCATGTCTCACTTAGCAACAGAAATTTTGGGCTCCATTGAGGTCGTAAGTCAAGCAGGACCTGTATTGCCACGGAAATGATTTTTTAGCAGGACCTACCCTGGATGACCTTCTGTGTTTAAGGCGAGGGGCTGCAATCATTTCTCTAGTCGTGGCTCAGACGGTCTTTGGAAATGCAGCATAATATCGGCGGAGTGCCTTTCTCTGCATTAAAGGGAGCAAAAAAAAAAAAAAAAAAAGAGCACACAACACACAATCGAGGAAGAAATAGCAGATGTGAGACATGCACCGTGATGGGGAAAACAAATAGAAATGTAGTTTGGGGCTTCTGTTAATTCCCTGCCATTTCTTTTCTCCTAGTTGAATTTTCTGCCTTGTTTTTATTTCCTGGTTTTGGGCTTCCTCCCACTGGAGGCTCGCCAAGTTGGCCGGAAGATTTTAGCGCCAAAGCCGATCTTAATCCTTTCTTGGCTGATTTACAGTATCTATTAATAAAAAGCTGCCCAGCTTGACTTTCCTTGCTTATATAAATGGTGTACGCTTTTCTCCAGCAGAGAAACGAGGGGGTAAATGCTATTTGCAAAGACGTCGTACGCTGCAAATGCATGAGAGTTGTACTTTCCAAAAAAAGAGATGTCACAAGGACAAGAAAACAGGGAAAAAGGGATTTTGGAAGAAAATAGCATCAGGGAAAACATAAGGGGTTGGGACAAAATGTCATGTTATTCCATGAGGGAGACAATCACAGCAGGGGTGAAATGCTCCCGGTTCGGCCCGGTTCGGCTAAGCCGGTAGCGATGACGGCCAGTGGTTCAGAGAACTGGTAGCGATAGCAGCTTGAGGCTCCACCTACCCACACGGTCGTCGTTACTTCTTGGTTTTAACCAGGAAGTAACCTGTTTTTACCCTCTGCGCATGTGCAGAAGAGTTTGCGTATGCGCAGAGGGTCGGCACGTGCACTTCCGAACCGGTAGGGAAACTAAGTAGATTTCACTCCTGAATCAAAGGGGTGCAACTCTTGCCTCTGCCTTAGGGGTGAAATCTACTTACCTTCCTTACTGGTTTGGAAGCGCACGTGTGCATGTGTCATTTGCATGCACACACCTTCTGCACATGCCCCCAATAAACCCTTCACAGAATCAAGATCACGTGATACGTTAAATGCCACTTTATAAGGCCTTGCGCTTGGAATATTGCATCCAGTTTTGGTCGCTACGATGTAAAAAAAAAAAGATGTGGAGACTCTAGAAAGAGTGCAGAGAAGAGCAACAAAGATGATTAGGGGACTGGAGGCTAAAACATATGAAGAATGGTTGCTGGAATTGGGTATGTCTGGTTTAATGAAAAGAAGGACTAGGGGTGACATGATAGCAGTGCTCCAATATTTGAGGGGCTGCCACATGGAAGAGGGGAGTCAATCTATTCTTCAAAGCACTGTTGTGGTCCACCCGCAGCCTGCGGAGCTGGCAGTGGAGTCGGACAGTGAGGAGGCTGAGGAAGAACATAGGCCAGTCCTGGAGGCTGGGGAAGGGCCGGATGAGGGCTCTGCGTCGGAGGCAGAGATGGGGCCAGGGCCATCGAGGAGTGATGTGCGGACTTCGGAGCCTCCGGAGGCTGACAGTAGAGAGGCAGAGGAACAGGAGGAGCCTGTTCCTAGTGCACGTATGACAAGAACTGCCAGAAGGCAGAAGGAACTAAAGCAAAAGGGATGACTCGGGAGTAAGGCCAGGAGATGATTGGCCCCTCCCATAAGGCTTAAAAGACCAGCAATGGCTCTTGGGTTCTTTGCTGGAAAACAATTGTTGAGAGAATTGCTTCTTGTTTTGCTGTCTTTATTTCTTCTGTTCCTGAACTGTTGCCAAGAAAAACCTTTGGCAGTTTGCCTAATTATCCCAAGGTCAGAGATAAACTAAAGACGGGTGTTTTAAGGACTTTGCTTTCATTTCATTTGGAATACGCTGAGAATGAGTTCATTCTCATCTGTTTTAATAAAATCTGTTTGTTTTTTTGGAACTATTTTGCATTTAATATCAACTACATGGGCCTGAAGGCAGGACAAGAAGCAATAAGGATGGAAACTCATCATGGAGAGAAGCAACTAAGGGGAAATTTCCTGACAGTGAGAGCAATCAACCAGTGGAACAGACGTTGCCTTCGGAAGTTGTGGATGCTTCAACTCTGGATCTCTTTTAAGAAGAGAT